ACTTCCTAATGTTACATAATATAGTAATATATCATAATATGGAACGTCGTACCTGCTTAATGTTACATAATATAGAGCGTCGTAACTGCCTAATGTTACATCATATAGAACGTCGTATCTGGCTAATGTAACATAATATAGAATGTCGGAACTGACTAATGTAACATAATATAGAATGTCGTATCTGCCTAATGTTAAATAATATAGAACGTCGTAACTTCCTAATGTTACATAATATAGAGCGTCGTAACTGCCTAATGTATAATATGGAACGTCATAACTTCCTAATGTGTCATAATATAGAACGTCGTATCTTCCTAATGTTACATAATATAGTAATATATCATAATATGGAACGTCAAAAATGCTTAATGTATCATAATAATGTTACATAATATAGAACGTCGTGTCTGCTTAACGTATCATAAAATGTATCATAATATGGAACTTCGTATCTGCCTATTGTATCATAATATAGAACGTAGTATCTGCCTAATGTTACACAATATAGAACGTCGTATCTGGCTAATGTAACATAATATAGAATGTCGTAACTGCCTAATGTAACATAATATAGAATGTCGTATCTGACTAATGTTACATAATATAGTAATATATCATAATATGGAACGTCGTAACTGCTTTATGTATCATAATATGGAACGTCGCATCTGCCCAATGTTACATAATAAGGAACGTCGTAACTGCTTAAGGTTACATAATATAGAACGTGGTATCTGCCTTATGTATCATAATATAGAACGTAGTATCTGCTTAATGTTACATAATATAGAGCGTCGTAACTGCCTAATGTAACATAATATAGAACCTCGTATCTGCTTAACGTATCATAAAATGTATCATAATATGGAATGTCGAAAATGCTTAATGTATGATAATATAGAACGTCGTAACTTCCTAATGTTACATAATATAGTAATATATCATAATATGGAACGTCGAAAATGCTTAATGTATGATAATATAGAACGTCGTAACTGCATAATGTTACATAATATCGAACGTCGTATCTGCTTAACGTAATGGAACGTCGTAACTGCTTTATGTATCATAATATAATATAGAACTTCGTATCTTCCTAATGTTACATAATATAGACTTCGTAACTGCCTAATGTATAATATGGAACGTCATAACTGCTTAAGGTATCCTAATATAGAACGTCGTAACTACCTAATGTTACATAATATAGTAATATATCATAATATGGAACGTCGTTAATGTATCATAATATGGAACGTCGAAAATGCTTAATGTATGATAATATAGAACGTCGTAACTACCTAATGTTACATAATATATAACGTCGTATCTGCCTAATGTTACATAATATAGAACTTCGTATCTGCCTAATGTTACATAATATAGAACGTCGTATCTGCTTAACGTATCATAATATGGAACGTCGTATCTGCCCAATGTTACATAATATAGAACGTCGTATCTGCCTAATGTTACATAATATAGAACGTCGTATCTGCCTAATGTATCATAATATAGAACGTATCTGCCTAATGTTACATAATATAGAACTTCGTATCTGCCTAATATTACATAATATAGAACGTCGTATCTGCTTAATGTATCATAATATGGAACGTCGTATCTGCCTAATGTATCATAATATAGAACGTATCTGCCTAATGTTACATAATATAGAACTTCGTATCTGCCTAATGTTACATAATATAGAACGTCGTATCTGCCTAATGTTACATAATATAGAACTTCGTATCTTCCTAATGTTACATAATATAGAACGTCGTATCTGCCTAATGTTACATAATATAGAACTTCGTATCTGCCTAATGTTACATAATATAGAACTTCGTATCTGCCTAATATTACATAATATAGAACGTCGTATCTGCTTAACGTATCATATTATGGAACGTCGTATCTGCCCAATGTTACATAATAAGGAACGTCGTATCTACTTTATATTACATAATATGGAACGTCGTAACTGCCCAATGTTACATAATATAGAACGTAGTATCTGCCTAATGTATCATAATATAGAACGTATCTGCCTAATGTTACATAATATAGAACTTCGTATCTGCCTAATGTTAAATAATATAGAACGTCGTATCTGCTTAACGTATCATATTATGGAACGTCGTATCTGCCCAATGTTACATAATAAGGAACGCCGTATCTACTTTATATTACATAATATGGAACGTCGTAACTACCCAATGTTACATAATATAGAACGTCGTATCTGCCTAATGTTATATAATATAGAACGTCGTAACTGCCTAATGTTACATAATATAGAACGTCGTGTCTGCTTAACGTATCATAATATGGAACGTCGTATCTGCCCAATGTTACATAATAAGGAACGTCGTATCTACTTTATATTACATAATATGGAACGTCGTAACTACCCAATGTTACATAATATAGAACGTCGTATCTGCCTAATGTTACATAATATAGAACTTCGTATCTTCCTAATGTTACATAATATAGAACGTCGTATCTGCCTAATGTAACATAATATAGAATGTCGTAACTGCCTAATGTAACATAATATAGAACGTCGTAACTGCCTAATGTTACATAATATAGAACGTCGTAACTGCTTAATGTATCCTAATATAGAACGTCGTAACTGCCTCATGTATCATAATATGGAACGTCGTATCTGCCCAATGTTACATAATAAGGAAAGTCGTATCTACTTAATATTACATAATATGGAACGTCGTAACTGCCCAATGTTACATAATATAGAACGTAGTATCTGCCTAATGTATCATAATATAGAACGTATCTGCCTAATGTTACATAATATAGAACTTCGTATCTGCCTAATATTACATAATATAGAACGTCGTATCTGCTTAATGTATCATAATATGGAACGTCGTAACTGCTCAATGTATCATAAGAAGGAACGTCGTAACTGCTTAATTTATCATCATATGGAATGTCGAAAATGATTAATGTATCATAATATAGTCTTCGTAACTGCTTAATGTATCATAATATGGAACGTCGTAACTGCTCAATGTATCATAAGAAGGAACGTCGTAACTGCTTAATGTATCATCATATGGAATGTCGAAAATGATTAATGTATCATAATATAGACTTCGTAACTGCTTAATGTATCATAATATGGAACGTCGTAACTGCTTAATCTATCATCATATGGAATGTCGAAAATGATTAATGTATCGTAATATAGAACGTCGTAACTACCTAACGTTACATAATATTAAATGTCGTAACTGCTTAATGTATCCTAATATAGAACGTTGTAACTGCCTAATGTTACAGAATATAGAACGTCGTAACTGCCCAATGTTACATAATATTAAACGTCGTAACTGCTCAATGTATCATAATAAGGAACGTCGTATCTACTTAATATTACATAATATGGAACGTCGTATCTGCCTAATGTATCATAATATAGAACGTCGTAACTACCTAATGTTACATAATATTAAACGTCGTAACTGCTTAATGTTACATAATATAGAACGTCGTAACTGCCTAATGTTACATAATATAGAACGTCGTAACTGCCTAATGTTACATAATATAGAACGTCGTAACTGCCTAATGTATCATAATATGGAACGTCGTATCTGCCTAATGTATCATAATATGGAACGTCGTAACTGCCTAATGTATCATAATATGGAACGCCATATATGCTCAATGTCGCTTAAAATAGAGCGCCATATCTGCCGTGAAATGCATATGGATTTACAAGCATTTCCAATGTTATCTTTCAAAGTATGGTTGAAGCACTCAAGTTTGCAAGTTAAGTATCGAATGGGGGAAAAAGGGGAGACATATAAGTGTTTAATGAAATTATTTAATAGCAACCCAATATATTTTAATGCCACTTATATTCCATTTCATAAACTTGTCACAAATAATGAAATTACATGAGGCCACCACGGAGTTCCATATATACCTGGTACCATGACCCATGACCTTTTACAATTGACCTCTCTCGAGGTAAGGGAGATAACTCTAATTGAAACTACGTCTTTTACAAAAGGCCAGATGATCCTGTTTTCTCAGTTCTTGTTTTTTTGCCATTAATAACGGATTAAGTAAATAACATACAATTGTAGAGTTTAATACAAAGATATTTTCATTAATGTTTAAATTAAAATTTGAACTACTATCTGGGAATATGAAAAATAATATTAAATAAACGCATGAAAGTGTATTTGAAAATTCAAATTGTACTTTTAATATCCGAATTCTCATATAATATATATAACCGAAACTAGTACAAAATGTATTTTATCTAACTGTAAAATCTGAACAATAAAACCAATTTCACAAATTAAAAAAACGAAAATTTATTTTGCACCTCAATCAAGTGATTCATTTAATTCTGGTAAATCTGAATTTCAATACATATGTCATTTTGTACGCAATTTTAATCAGAAAGCACATTCTAACAAAGTAAAAATGAAGTAAACTAGGGAAGATATAAAAATGTTCTTTTCAACAATCCATACAAATAGAAAAAATTCAAAACACTTTACAGAGTTTACATTATGAAACTATCAGAATATAGACAGACTACAGTTAATTCATCCATATATCATACCCAATTAGAAACATTAGAAGGCAAAGTTTGTTAATTTTAGTTATGGTTTCACAAGGAACAAAAATTCTCCCGATATAACAATAAACTTATGATGTCATGATACAGCAAAATTTTCTTGCATATTGTGTTGAACCATGTACAAAGTTTTGAGACATTTAAAATGGAAAGTACTCATTAAATGATGCCAAATCAAGGATATTGTTAAAATTACATCGGCTAACAATGTTTGGAAACAACATTTATTTTTATTTTTATTCAATGCTATAGTTGAAGCATTTGTAAAATCATAAAATGCAACAGATTTTCCTTGAGTAATGCATATCAGGTGATTCTTGTTAAATGAAAGGAGATCAAATTCATTTAAAACAGTCAAAAATCACAAAAATAAATATAAATGATAATTTATTAAACCACTAAATGTTTACAAAAACACACATGGAATAATATTGAAGCTTTTTATCACATGTAGATTACTTATTTACTGTTCAGGAATGTATGGTCCTTAACTCAAGGATCTCATATTTGGGGTAACTTTTTCCAGAAAAATTCCTTCAAATTAGTAAATACTTAATTAAGTAAAGTTATATACAGTTAGGAAAGAAAGATTGCATGTATGTTTAGTCATAACTACAACTAATGAATAACACTGACCTTTTTCCTATTTTGATTGAAACTAAAAATAGACTATTTGAAATATTACCAGTGTAAAATAGGCCATAAAATTATTTCATGCATGTATGAGTTTTGGTATGCATGCATTGTATACTAAAAAAAAAATGTATATTGACAAGTGTGTTGCGACTAGAAACAATTAATGTAAGAAATGTTATGAAATCTTCTCACCAGTACGTCAGTTTCATTCTTTAAACATACACAAACTGGAAATCCTATTTTGATTTTTTGTTTCAAGGCTACAGATCTAGAATGTTTGCACAGCTTTAACTACTGATATAAGGGTTGACAAATACTGTATTTGACTAAATAAAGCCCCCATCCCTTACAAGCACCTGTATTCTTTTCTAGTCCGAGTGTCCCATCTATACACTATAATATACATTAATTTACACATTCTAATGTTATACACAAATGCATAGTATTGCTGATAAAATCTTTCAAGCTCCCTAAAAGATGAAATTTATCACAGGTATGTTAAAATATATTTCTTCTTCTTTCATTAATTTTTTTTTCTTTATCCAGGCATATGTTTCTTGTCACCACAAATTAGTTATCACTATTTCTGTGAAGTTGTTTCATTTGAATTGTGACTATCATAGTATCTTCTCTTCATTGTCCGATATTTCATCAAAAAATACAGTGCCTCAATTTCCTTTTGGACATATTCTCCTTTGGTGATTAGGGCATCAATTTCTTGCGGATCTGTTATATTTCTGTTCTTCCTAAAAGCGTTCCTCTGTCGTTCCCTGAAGTATTCATGCCCCTTTGGATAATCACGCCCCATGTGTAGCAGCTGTAAAACAAACACCGAAAAGTAATTTACACAAACACTTGGCATTTGTCAAGAAGAATTTAAGCTACCCAGTTTATTTTCCCAAAAATTACAAATGATTTTGCTAAATTAAAAAATAAATTCAAAACAACAATCAAGTGAAAATTAAATAATTTCATCACAAAAAAAACCACTTCTATTTTCAAAATAAATACATTGACAAGCATTCTGATTGTTATCAAATGATGACATAGTTTTATGAGAAAAAATTCTTTGTCCAATTTAAATCTTTAGGGAAGGGTCCCTAATTGCAATACGTAATGTACTATTGGGAACCATCGGCAGTTTCCTTAAACGAGAAAATACTCAGAAAGTGCCGACAGTTGTTGATTGACTTAAGTAGTGTTTTTCTATAGCTCTTAAGTTTTTTAAAGGACTTTTCCAGTTGCATTTTTCTACTAGCTTACCTCCCCTTAGTTTGAAACTTGGAATCAGACATCTGAGTGTTCAAAATTATCAGTCAATTTTTTTCTTCTGAATGATTCAATATTTAACCCTTTCACCACTGAAGACCATGACAGACTCATCCATATCAATGCATGGTAGACTCTAATAAAGTCACATAGGGTAAAATGGTTATAGATGGGGGCCAGTCTACAAGATTTTCTAACACAGAATAGACTAATTACTTTCAGTTTTAGGTTTTTACTGTGACGTAAGTTGTTGTCACTTATGTGTAACTTACCGTTTTGTAGAGCTGTATAACACGACTTCGCTGGCTCATGGCCATCATGTCACCTGAGCGTTAGCACCTGTACCACTAAATGTAAACCTTTTTTTCAATACTGTACATGTAAGTCCAAATCTGGAGAAAGAAAAAAACATGGTTTAACAATCTATCTTTTATTTGTTCAAGTTCAAGTTCTTTATTCCTTTAAGTCGTCTAACTTATCAGTTTCAACATAATTTTACCTTTTTTACCCAGCAACAAGCCCATGCCTGGTAATAAGCCCACCCAAATGGAAACAAATGCTATTTCAAACTTACCTCTTACTTCGAGTCAGAAATTATGTGTTGACTTCCTTGGTTTATTTACAATATGTACAGTATAAAAAGCAGCAAAATACAAAACAATATATAGTACTTATACATATGTCCTTATATTAATAAATAAGCTACAGTTGCGTGACTGCACAACGTTCCATAAATAGCATGCCCACATCGTGCATACATAATGCGCACATCATCAACACATGGAGCGCACAACTTTACGATTTAACAATCGCTCACCCAGTAGTACGCTTCTTTCCCCACAAATGTGCGATTTAGTACATTTGATTGATCAATAATACAGAATGAAAACAATTTGGAAGGCTGGTATGGTAAAAGGAACACTAGTACTGTATAAATTAACTTTTCATCACATTAATTACATATTATACTAAATTTTACTGTAACTACACGTTACATAATATTACTGTGATTGTGTGAAAACTGTCAAGAATGGGTTTTGCTCCTAGGTAACAGAACGGGAAAAAACATTTTGATGAGTTCACCTGGATTTTCACAACTTACCAAGTTATGTAAGTGCTACGGCCCGTGTGGGGATAACTATGGTTGACGTACATGTACAAAGAGGCGATATTTACCTGTATATGTGGAGGAGTCCAAATGTGTAATAATTTTACATGCGTTGATTCGGGTTGTTTAAAAAAAACAGAAACACCATTTCTGAATTAAAGTAATTCAAGTTAATATGTTTAAACTTCGAACCATATATATTGTTAAGCCATTTCTAAATTTACACCAACCACGATTGTCATTGCACAACATTTTTTCCATTGTCCGCACAAATGTGTGCAAGCAATAATCGTCCAGATTTGAATCGTGCACACATTGTGCGCACACCACACATCTAGCCCGAGTGTCCTCTGGCCTCAACACCAGACTTAGACATTTTGACAGATATAGCACACCAGACATGTATCTGTCAAACTGTCTAAGTCGGGTGTCCAGAGGAAACTTGGGCTAACCGCAAATCGTGTTATGTTGTGCAATCTCACAAATGTATGATATCACAGCTAGACAATATTCAGTACAAATAGACGCATAGAGGAGTGTGAACAGTAACCAGAATATAGTCTGACTCGTACACTAATCGTAGACATCTAGTATATGTCAAAAAGTCTGGTATCAGGGCCAGAGGGAACTCGATCACGAGCTTTAAGGTCACACAATATGCACAATCTGTTTATTCTTTCCGTCTGTTATGACTACCACAGTCAAATACTACAGTAGGTCAGTTGCAAATGTTGTTTGTTTACCAAATTTCACCGTGCACTAATCAAAGATTCAGAGTCATATTTACATTGATAATAATGACTAATTCTAGCAATAATCTGCATGGATTCAACCGTAATTTACTATATACACAGTTTGGTGTATGGGTTATAAAACATGTAAATAGGTAAACATATTTTCTTTTAAAATTTAATCGTTTCCAAATTTATTCGTTTCTAAAATTTCTTTATAGAAATAGTAAATGTCTATCAATGAAATCCAGAAAAACACTGTGTTCAGCACTGATACAATGCCATTTTGATTATGCCTGCTGTCTTGGTACACAGCCTAACCAAAATATTTCAAAATAAACTACAAATTATGCAGAACAAAGTTGTAAGATTTATTCCCCGGTAGGATCATAGGAAACGAATATCATTTGAGGAACTTGCATCGTTAAATATGCTAAATGTAAATCATAGAGTTAAAAAGCTTCGTCTCAATCATGTTTTTAATAGTATCATCAGTGCTGTCCAAAATATATGAACAAAGGTTTTAGTAGAATAACAATACTCGTTTTACAAGATCTTGTGAACACAATTTTTTAGTACAATCTATTAGGGGAGCTGAGTCCTCCACTTTTTTCAATAATGGAATCAGAGATTGGAATTCTTTACCTAGGTCAATCAGATGTCTACACAAAAAGCATCAATTTAAACTTCAGGTTAAACATCACTTGATGGAAATAGATAAGAGACTAAGAGGGAACATCAAAATGAATTTGTCTTTTTATAATATATAATTACCCTATACCACTTAAAGGATGTACGCTTCTGAGGTTTCAATCACGTTCAAGTCTCGTTTTGATCCGGTGTAACAGGTTTTTGTAATACAGATTTAACAAATTATGATCAAGTTTATTAGCAAACACGCATCTGAAAAATATGTCAAAAAACTACATGCCTGTTGTTTGTAGAATTTTATTACAAAATTTAAAAAAATTACCAATTTGGTGGCCATTTTGAAAATGTGTATTAATGTGTATTTCTCGCGCATCAAAAAAGGCACAAATATCACCTTTTTTGACACTAGATTGATCACTTAAGTTGTCATTGTGTCACCATTTTTAATTGTAGCAATTTCAATTCTGCTGTACAACTTTATAATGTTTAATATGATAAAATAATATGCAACAAACTGGAAAATTATACATTATTGATATTTTTTTTACATATTTATTGTTACTGAAGCACTTTTGATTTTTGACCCTGAAAAAGGTTAAAAAATAACACAAATGATAATGGGACAAGAAAAGAAGCACACTGAGCCCCAATTTTTGTGAATGTTTTAGAAAGAGAAACACATTTTCTTTTAATTCATTAAATATTAAAAAAAAGTTTAATAGCAGAATGTTTTATATCAAGCATTTAATCTGCAAAAAATGGTAAAAAAATGAGTATTTTTTCATACTTCCATAATTTAAAAGAAAATGATATTTTCATCAATTCTACCAACATTCAGGCTATATCTTACCATCGTCCCATTTGGGATCATTCCAATTGCGTTTCCAAAAATTATGAAATAATACAATTTTTATTTGTTTCGGAACTCCTCGGGGTTTATCCATCATAATTGCCAACCATTATAAGGGAAATAACTCCTCCGTTCTTACAAGGGGCACAACAAATGCATGGTTTCTTACGCGATTTATTCCGTTGTGAATATATAGCCTACATATTTTAGTGATCAACGCTCTATATACTACTCTTACCATCGTCCCACTAAATCAGCAACAGAAAACTATCATTTATTTATGTTTTCCCAAAAAATATTCCTAGCCCCTTTTTTGATTGTGGCAATCCCCAAAGAAAACCCCTTTATAGTGTAGGAAAGTCATGACAAAAATGAAAGTACGCCTAGTACACAACTCGCTATCGGCCCTCTATATCCTACTGTTACTATCGTCCCAGCAGATCAACGCTCCATATACTACTCTTGTCATCGTCCCACTAAAATAGCAACAGAAAACTATCATTTATTTATGTTTTCCCAAAAAATATTCCTAGCCCCTTTTTGATTGTGGCAATCCCCAAGGAAAACCCTTTCATAGTGTAGGAAAGTCGTGACAAAAATCTATATCCTACTCTTACCATCGTCCCACTACATATCAACGCTCTATATACTACTCTTACTATCCTCCCACTAAATTACCAATGACGGAATAAATCGTCCAATGTTAGATAACATAATATATTTCCGTCAATGCCGGAGGAGTTATCCCCCATCCTAAATCAGTAGAAATATGTTGGATCACATGCGAGGAGTTCCGAATGGACCAAAACACATCTTACACACGCCGATTTTATTAGGTGGTGGGCATCATCCCACTTGGGACGATGATAAGATATAGCCAACATTCATACATATATCTGATAACACACTTTGAAGAAATTGTAAGAATTTGTTCTGCAAAAACGAACACACGGACATATAGTTTTTTTTACATTTTCTACTATGCCATTAACTCCTTTTTCCAAAAATCCATATAAGAAAAAAAGTTTTATACAGGAAATTTTTGACTTCTCACAGGTGTTAATAATTATAGTATTCATTATAAGAACCATCATATCATTTCGACCGGTTGCTAATATTTTTCCAAATGACCCCATTGGAAAAGAAAAAAAAATCAAAACTTTCATGGGTCATCCTAGGTAGAAGATTACCGGTTCAAGATAATTTTTCACTGTCTACCTCCAATATTTAATGTGATATTCATACAAACTCACCAGGGATAATACTACTACCTAGTGCTGAATATGTGCTTTTCAATTGAAATTAATATAATTTTTAGTCATATGCATTTTGTGATATCTGAAGGTTAGTCTTTCATCAAATACCAGTCTGTGTTCTCATTGCTTGTGTAATGCAGAGACGTGTGTAATGTAATTTTATGTTTGCCATGCCTATCTTTTACATGAATAGACATTATTATTATTTTAATGATAGTGAGTGAATTTGAATGTGTCATTTTCTATGCTATTCTGATAAAATTATATGAATTACATGCACACAAATTAAAATTATCTGACTTTAAATACTGCGTTGTACAGTTAGAGGAGTTCCAGCTGTAGTGATCTTCGAGCTCTCAAGCGAGTTTCATAATATTTTGATCTTGATGAGAACAGTACTGTTCGATTTCGAGAAGACGATTAGGCTAACTCAACGAACATACATAAAAAGATGAAATAAAAGTGCAAAAATATGTAATTTCAAACAACTAACAGCGGCTAAGTTAATACTTACAGTGGTATCTACATTAAAATTTGCATTCTGTTACGTGACGGTTGACATTCAACGAAAAAGTGTGTTTTGGAACTCTTTTATTGAAGTTCGATCTGTGTCATCTACACGCTCAAAGATATTTCACACCATGCACGCGGTGTGCAGTACTTAAATTTTGAGGAGAAGACAAGGTGCAGGCTGGGTTTTTCTTAGCTTATCGGCCTTGGGCGCGTTTCACGTTTGAATACTTTCTATTTAAACACATTTCG